ACATAACCTTCAGCATTGAGATACAGTCTCTTGTACCCTGGGCTGGCCTTGAATTTGCTATGTAGCTGAGATAGGTCATGAATTCCTAATCTACCTATGTATACTTCTTGAGTGCTGGGATTATAGGATTGTGCCACCATGCCCATTTTTGCTGCTGTTGTTTTTGTTTTAATGTGGTGCTGGGGATGGAACCCAGGATCTCAACCATACTAGACAAACACCCTGCCATTGAGCTACATCCTAGGAATTTTTCCCAAGCTCTCTTCCAGAAACAACTTTTTGCTTCTTTGGGAGTTTCATGCCTCCTTGCATATCTTAGAGGATCCTATGAACTAAGCAGAAGCCAAGCATCTGCTTGGTAGTTTTGGTTTGAAGACATAGGGACATTTATTTTGAGGGAATGATAAGTGCTTTTGTGTGACTCCAGTGACACAATAAACCAACTGGTCTGCCCCAAACCTTTTTCTTGATCTTCCCATCAAGATAAAGAAATTCAGGAAATAGGGACTGGAGAGATGGCTTAGTGGTTAAGAGCACTGGCTGCTTTTGCAGAGGACCTGGGTTTGATTCCCAGCACCTGCATGGCTTCTAACAACTGTCTCTAACTCTAGTTCCAGGGGAATTTGACTCCTTCTGTGAGCATTGCATGATACAGGTGCACTTACATACATGCAGGTAATACATCCATACACATAAATAAAGATAATAAAATATTTTTAAAGAAATTCAAGAAATTATATTTTTCAGTAATTAGATATTAGCTTTCTTTGGGGATGAGAGGCTGCCCTAGTTATATTGTGCTGTATGTTTGTATGTGTATGCATTTGCAGAGTGTGTGTAGGTGATGTGTGGCATATCTTTAGTTCCAGGTAATTCTTAGTTGGATCTTTGAATTCTTCTGTGACCTCACTGAGTGATTTAATAAAAATTTAAGGATATGGAATATTCACTACATGCAATATAATGAAGCAAACACTATAACCCACAGACTCATGGGGATCGACCATTCCCTGCTGAACTGTTGGGTCCTGAAGGATTGTGGGAGGGGAAGCCATCCTCATATGTGTACCCACTGGCTCCTGCAGATAGTAGTTCCATACACATGGTCAAACAGATGGTTTTGGTTAGACTCAGTGAGTCATAAAACAAAACAAAAAAAAACATGGATATGGGAAAGGGACATGGAGGGATAAGTGGGGTTGGTAAGAGTGGGAGGGAGATACAAGAGGGCCAGGAGTGAGAGTAGTCAGAAGGCACTACATATGTGGGTGAAACTGGCAAAGAACATTTGATTAATCAAGAGCTAGAGTATTACCAATATGATTGGAGCTATTCACAAGGCTAATTGATTCCATGCCTATTACCTATTCCCAGATATATAGTTGTCCTGAATGATACAATTTCCTTTTCTTTTTTGAACATTATTCCATTGTGGCATTTACTATGTGAAGCCACATTACAGTTATGTGTGAATAAAAGCAACCTGCTCTTAGAATCCATTTTAAGCCAAGAGCAGACCCAAACTGCTGAGGGGTATTTAGAATTCTCTTGGAACTGTGCTCTCGAACAAGGGGCTTGCTCTTTCTTTTCTCAAAATGGTATATCCAGCATGAAACAGAGAAATAAGTCAGACTCTTATCTTCTATTTTTTCCTTCTTTTTCTTTTTGAGACAGGGTCTCCCTTAAGCCCCAGCTGGCCTGGAACTCGCTATGTAGACTAGGCTGGCCTCAAACTCACAGAGATCTGTCTGCCTCTGATAACTATTTCTCTACACATTGGCCAGTAGTGATTTTCTGGGTTAACTACCATCCACTGCACAAAGAAACTTCTCTGATGAGGTCTGAGAGCTTCACTAATCTATGAGTGGAGAGGTACAAAGTTAGAGGGCAGTTGATACTATGTACATTTAGCAGAATCATAGTAGAAGGTTCACCCCTGGAGCCTGTGAAATCCCCAACCATGGGTTCTTGGCCAGATTTACAGTATCAGGCATGTGCTTCCTCCTTGGAGTGGGCCTTAGATCCAAGCAAAAAACAGTTGATTATCCCATAACATTCATGCTACTATTGCACCCTTGAAGCCATTACCATCTTAATCAGAGTAGCTGTGACTACTTACAAGAGACCTTCAACAAGATGGGTCTCTTATAGGAAGACAGGATGGGAAGGAAGTTTCAGTCCTCATCTGAGACTCCAACCAGTCATTGCCTCCTGTGATCCTCATCCAGATACATGTAATTCTGCTCCAGCTGACATGGTCTTTGCTAGAGTATATAGAGGATAGATGGTTAACTGGTGGTGGAGAAAGGGCTCCATCTATACAGCTATAAGGAGGTCTGTGTTGGGGTGGGACTTTTTGGTGACGTGGTTGCTTTGGGGCTGCTCACTTTGACCTCACAGCCATACTCCTGTAAGTAAGCTCAGTAAACTCATTGGTTCACCAATATAGACTTGGATGGAATTGTTCCTTTGGTCTGTTGTTGGTGCCCTGTCTAGGGTGGGTAAACATTTGTTTACATTCCCCTAGAAAAAATTCATGCAAGAAATGATGTAGAATAGACTTAGATTATAAATTCCAGCAAAATATTTTTTTTATTTAATTTTAATTTTTTTTTACAATTAAAGTCACAGTTTTAACAATATACAAAATATTACAGTAATTCAGATTTTTTGGCATAATGATTACAGATTTGATAAATACATTTTATATCTCATAATAGCAATGAAGATTATACAAAAGCTATTAAAACAATTATAAAAATAAATTCAATTGTCACTTAAGTATCTAAAGAGATTTTCCTTTGCGTTCTTCCAGAATGATTTGTTCTTATTCTTTACCTTAATTTGAGGGACTTCAAAAAGATACTTGGTGTTTTTTTTTTTTTTTCATCCAAAAAAATTCATTCCAAGGAAATTGACATTGAGACGTTTTCACATGCATTTCTAATCTCTATATACATGACTATCA